TGAGTCAAAGAATGGGAACAAACCGATAAGAAGATTCGGGATTCGTGCCTGGCGATGGCCCTTGCAGCGTTCAGAGGTAGATGGAGAAGTTCAAAAGTTTGAGAGATATAAAACCTCATTTCTTTTATCTTTGCAACTGGATCAAACGTACGTGTTTCAGACTACATAAAGCTAAAGATCGTACTAAAGCTTCGCAGTTCGCTTATAAGTGACGTTGCCTACAATATCAATCATGTTGATCAAAATATGAATCTTGGAAAGTTGGAATGCGTGGTGGAAGCAAGTTTTGACTCCTTTTCTAATCGAGACGAAGTCGAGTGTCTTGAAGGCACGAGGGTTGACCTCCTCCAAAATATAATGGAATGGGCTATGTCGCCGTCCCAAAAACCCCTGTTTTGGCTCAGCGGGATGGCTGGCACAGGGAAGTCTACAATAGCTCGGACCGTGGCAAAGTCGCTCAAAAATACCAACCATCTCGGGGCGAGCTTTTTCTTCAAGAGGGGTGAAGGGGATCGAGGAAACACCAAGAAGTTCTTCCCAACGCTCATAACACAACTGAAGCTCAAGATTTCTGGGCTTAGTTCTGCCATACAGAGGGTACTCTGTAACGACCCTCAAATTGCCTCGAAATCGCTCGGAGAGCAGTTTGACAAACTCCTCCTTCAACCGCTGCTCGAACTTGACCAACTCGGTCAGCAACCTCAAACCACTGTGATTGTGATCGACGCTTTGGATGAATGTGACCATGATCAAGATGTACGAAATATAGTCCGACTACTTCCTCTTTTACAGAAGGTACACATATTTCGCCTTCGGATATTCTTGACCAGCAGGCCAGAACTTCCAATTCACCTTGGCTTCTCAGAGATCGCGAACGATGATTATCAGGAATTAGCTCTTCATGAACTTTCTGAAGAGGTGACGGAGTGTGATATACGCTTGTTCTTGAGGGACCAATTAATGACAATCAAACACGACAGAAATATTTGTCGAGATTGGCCTGGCGATAGCGTCATCCAAGAACTGGTTATAATGTCGGTACCACTGTTCATCTCTGCTGCAACTGTCTGTCGATATATCGGAAACCTGAGATGGGACCCTGTATCACGCCTTGCAGCGCTTCTGGAGGACCAAGCCAAATACGCAACGAAAATGGACAAGACGTATCTGCCAATCCTCACGCGACTCCTGGATGACCAAGATAGCGATGAGTCGGAGCAGCAACAACTCTTGCATGAGTTCCAGGAAATTATCGGTGTTATCATACTCCTCGCTATTCCACTCTCTATAAATGCGCTTTCCATTTTTATTGGGATTCAGGTGGATCAGATAAGCAACCGGTTGTATTCATTCCGGTCTGTTCTGAATGTCCCCACTAACAGAGATCTCCCGGTAAGGGTTCTACATTCATCATTTCGAGACTTCTTAGTCCAATCCAAAGGCAGATTTCACGTGGATGAACCAGGCAAGCACAAGCACATTGCTGAAATGTGTATCAAAACCATGCGAAGTCATCTGCACAGGAATATCTGCAATTTAGAGAGCCCCGGCACTCATAGAGCAGATATTGATCCCCAATTACTCCGCCAATCTTTACCACCAGAGCTCGAATACTCCTGTCATTACTGGATACACCATCTCAAACACAGCAATATTTCTTCTTTAAACATAGAAGCTATTTCATTATTTTTCAAGGAGCACTTCCTGCACTGGGTGGAAGTAATGAGCCTGTTGGGTCTTCTATCGGAAGTGGTGGGAATGCTTAACATCCTCAAGGCGGTTTTGTCTGTAAGATCCCTGAAATCTCTGAACGTTTATAGAAGACTCTCACTGAAAGATTTAGGGTGGCACCCGCTCCGAAATTTCTGATTTTCTTCAAGATGCACGTCGCTTTGTTCTTAAGAATCGCCAGGTAGTTGACAAGGCTCCACTTCAGATATATTGCGCAAGTCTTGTTTTTGCACCTCTCATGGCGATAATACGCGTCGAATTCCAAAAAGAGCTTCCCAGTTGGATATCTCAGCTACCACAAGTTGAGGATAGGTGGAGCGCAGAGTTACAGGCTTTTGAAGGCCATTCAGCACCGGTTTGGTCAGTAGCATTTTCGCCCGACGGTCGGCTGCTAGCTTCTGGTTCTTTTGATAAGACAGTACGCCTCTGGGACACGGAGACGGGTGTTCTCAAGCAAACTCTCGAGGGCCATTTAGCTCCAGTTTGGTCAGTAACATTCTCGCCGGATGGCAAGCTAGTAGCATCCGCCTCCGATGATAAGAGAGTCCGACTCTGGAATTCAGCGACGGGTGCGCTCCAGAAAACCCTCGAGGGACATAGAAATTGGGTACGATCGGTGGATTTCTCGCCTGATAGCCAGCTGGTTGCGTCCGGCTCTAAGGATCAGACCGTATGCCTATGGGACTCAAAGACAGGGGCACTTGAGAAGATTCTCGAAGGGAATTCCGCTCCAGTTTGGTCAGTGACCTTTTCGTCTAATAACCGGCTACTAGCATCTGGCTCTGAAAATCAAACAGTGCAACTCTGGGATCTAGTCACAGGTGCACTCCTACAGACTCTCCACGGCCATTCCGATTTGGTTTGGTCCGTAGCCTTCTCGCCCGACGGCAGGTTGCTAGCATCCAGCTCTGCTGATAAGACGGTACGCCTTTGGGACTCGACGACAGGCGCGACTCAGCGGATTTTTAGAGGTCATTTAGATGGTGTTCAGTCGGTGGCCTTTTCGCCTGACGGCCAGCTGCTAGCTTCTGGATCTTTTGATAGGACAGTATGCCTTTGGGACTTAATGACAGGCGCAGTCCAACAGACTCTCAAGAGTGACTCGAGCTCATTTCCGTCTATAGCCTTCTCGTCCGATGGTAGGGTGTTGGCATCGGGATCCGATAAAAGTCATCTGCGTCTTTGGGACACGACGATAGGCGTGCATCAACAGACTCTCGATGGCCATTCAGAGTGGATACAATCTATAGTATTCTCGCCTGACGGCCAGCTGCTAGCTTCTGGATCTTTTGATAGGACAGTATGCCTGTGGGATACAGAAACGGGTATCCTCTTGCAAACCCTTAAGGGCCATTTAGCTTCGGTTTGGTCAGTGGTATTCTCACCTGATGGCCACCTCCTAGCGTCATGCTCTGGGGACCATACAGTTCGCCTTTGGGACTCAGCGACGGGTGCACTACAGTATATTCTTAATGGCCATACGAGCTGGGTCCGTCTAGTGAGCTTCTCGCCTGATGGTCGGTTGTTAGCGTCCGGGTCTGAAGATCATACCGTTTGTCTTTGGAATTCGGCGACAGGCGTGTGCCAGCAGACTTTTTACGGTCATTTAGGTTCAATTTTATCAGTAGCCTTTTCGTTCGACAGCAAGCTTCTGGCTTCCGGCTCTCGTGATCGGACAGCCCGTCTATGGAACTCGGCGACGGGCGAACTCTTGCAAATCCTCGAGGGCCATTTGGACTTGGTTAGATTAGTGGCTTTCTCGCCTGACGACCGGCTGCTAGCTTCTAGCTCTTTTGATCAGACAATACGCCTCTGGGACACGGAGACGGGTGTTCTCCAGCAGACCTATTTTACAAAGACAGCCAGTACTCTTCGATTTTCCAATGATGGCTCATATCTATACACAGATTTTGGTGGCCTAGACATCCGGTCCAGTTGTGAAATTACCAGACCCCATCCGAATCAAACAGATATGTGTATCTCAATTGATTATCAAGAGTGGATAGAATTGAATGGTGAGAAGGTCCTCTGGCTGCCTCCTGAGTTTCGTGCTAGTTCTTCCAAGTGCTATGGTAATTTACTTGCCATTGGTCACCCATCAGGACGGGTTTCCTTCATCAGGTTTTGCAGATAGCTGATGCAAATAATTTCATTTCTGTTTTTTCTTTTGTTGTTTATCCGATTTTGCCTGACAGTTATGAGTCTGACAGTAGGGTATCCAACGATAAATTCCAGGCTTCACTTACCGACGCAGCTACTGACTAGCAAGTGTGGCCTGACTGCCTTCATTCGCACTATCTATAGTTGGTGTCTCGCTTGGCCTTGCTGATTCAGTTTGCTTAGGGGCGTCTTGAGCTTGTTCTGTGATGGACCATGGTTCATAACAATCATCACAGGCGGCGCAATGAAGGTAATCAAACATCTTTGTAAGGATAAGTTGGTCGTCTTCAAGGGTATGGAATACGGCTTTCGCAATCAGACACGAATAAGCAGCCTTTCTATTGTTGCGAATTTTGGTTTCGAGTGAGAGAATAACACATAATTGCTTCTACTTAAGGACACGTCAATATTGGGGACTATTGCGAAGTCTATATCTAGAGAATCAATACATGTTAGGTGTTTGTGGATTTACCATGTATTTGCCATTTTCAGTCGGCTGGCTTTTGCCCACACACCCATCTGCCAGAGCTATATGCACCCCATCAAGCCACTATTAGATGACGAAAATTTCATCCAGAATTAACAGTGCAGGTATCAGAGCGCTTCACTCAGCGTTATCAAAAAGTGCCGGCAGAACGGTGATATCTCTAGCAGAAGCTCTTGAAATTCTTTGCTGTTTAGAAAGAACTTCCCATGGTGTGTCGTAAAATGAACCACTAAAACTCGAATAACACTGGTATTATGAGGATCTCCTTGATCGTCTCGGAAGACGAATCGTATTAGCATGATGATATCTCCCACTCGTCCTTCGTGGAGAGGGAATTCACGAAGCATATGCAATAACTTATAGATGCAAATGCCGCGTAATTCCCTCATCTCGTATTGAGCGGCAAAATGTTTGAGACGGGCATGGGTAAGGAGAGCCTCACTTTAGTCCCATTTATAGGAATATTAATATTTGCCTCCATTGCATTGGAGAGCGGGCTAAAACAATAACGGCCGATAAATGAAGTAAGCTAAAGGCCCTGAATGCTAAATATATTAATGAAAAAAACAGCACAATGCTAGCAAAGAGTCACAATGACAGAGTGACCAAATACTGAGGTTATCTAACGACTAAAGCTAGCGTGGCCTTCCTCAGATTTAGTCTTAAGCGGATAACCTGCACCCCACCGGTTGTGAAACTCCGTATTCTTTTCTTGGCTTGTCCCTTCTTTCGACTCTCCCAGGTTCCCAACAACTGTTCTGGGAGTTTGTGATAAATGTCTAATTGTATCGTCCGACATCTGCCCTAGCCATTGTTCAGACCGGTTACCTGTGACAATACGTTTTGCCGATATCAGGTCCCCGATGGTTGAGACTATTAACTGGCGTGAGTCGTCGGCTGAATTGACATCTTCAAAAGAATTAATTCGGGCGCTCCCTGCCAGATCAGATGCGTCGGCACAGATATTTAAACACTGTTCGACGCTATCCTTTTCCTCTTGCATCGTTTCCAACCTAGTGGCTTCGTCCTTGGAAATCTTTTGACGCTTTTGAGCTTCTGCCAAGCGACTTCTTAGTTCTGCTAACCTTGATTCGAGGGAATTCGAATTGGCATTGAGCTTCAACTGAAAGTCGTGAAACATGGCTGCCGTGACCTTCTTAGCGTGTTGTGGTTCCACATTTTCCTTATGGGCGGACTCGGCAGGTAGATCGCGCGTAGAGACTGAGTCGTGCAACATGCCAGCCTGCAGGCTTTCAATATATTCCGAGGCTTGGGCACAAATATCCAAGCATTGCTCTGTGCTCTGCTTTTCTTCTTCAATCACTCTAGAATCTAAGTCTGAGCTCAGAGGGCCCTCGCTAGCTTCATTAAGCAACTGTAGGTTTTCGTAGATCTCATGCAAATGGTCCTGAAGATCTGATGTAGCTTCATCAATCATCCGCTTAAATTCATCAAGAACATTGCTAGTGACTGCGGCGTGACGACTAGCCAATAAAATTTCATGGTCAGATCAGAGCTTTCTGCGCAGCTGCAAAGGCATACATACAAAGTGGCGCTTCCAAGGGCGATACTGATTGTCGCCTTGTATCCGGCCAGTGTTGTTCTGAGATTGTTTATATCACCACCCATATACCGCAATTTTGCCCAATCACGGAAGCTCGTCCGGTCGACACCGGAATGGCTTGTACAACTTTTCAGAATCTCTTCGAATTCTTGGCATATTCTGCCGCATCGCAACAGTGGCTGCTTCAAGGCATCTAGTTCGTCTTCGAGTTCGGCCGCCGTGCCCTTTAAAGTCTTAAGAACATCGTTGAGTGACTGTAACTCATCTCGTAGATCTCTGATTGCCCTTTTGCTAGATTTGAAGCTTTCAACCAATTGGTAGAGTGATTTGCTAGTTTGAAAAGCAAAGCCAGCCAGCCCGACCAACCCGGACGCAATCCCAAAAGCTTCAGCCATCACAATGTGAGGCTTATATGAGCGGTAGAGAATAGAAAGGAAGATTCGGTCTGCTTTGGATATTTAGAGAACAGATTTTTTTTAAACTCCATCTGAGAAGGCAGGCGCACCCGTCATTGATATGACCGTTAACGAAACTCAGCCAGAGATGTAAGTTTACCCCTCATTTGGCCATCGCTGACTTTCCGGCGGCTACAGGATGTCTTTAATTGGATTAGCAGCCGCTTATGTAACACACGAGATTGGCTGGATGCCCGAGGTTACATAAGACGTTATCCCGAGAGCTCGATTAAGCGTCCAGATTCCACACACCATCCGCCTAAAGGGGAAGAACCGATATATAAAACAAGTGAAGACTTCTCTGATCTTGTTCAAATAAAGGAGTTACCCGTATCGTTACCTACATCCATGCTACTCACTGATGTCAAAATATATTCTGCGAAATTGGCGAATTTAGAAGCATATCCCTAGCTTTGTCGTCCACGCCGGGATTGCGTGATTGTAATAACAGCGTAACGCTGACTGCGGGGTTCTGGTCCGCTTATTGGAGGCTGGTCAAACGTGGGGCGATTTGTTTCGGTTCCCTAGTCGCCGAGGAGGACCGTGCAGAGCGCATACGCCTACAATCCGCACAACTCAATGATCCACCAGCTGTCTATTATAGATAGGGTCTGCCCAACCCCGATACTGTTTGGATCAAATTTATAACTCGCCTATCTCCGCTCCCTCTCTCCGGTTCTGCGCGGGATATATTGATAATATGGCGGAACCTATCAGTCTGGCTTCTGGGTTACTGGCACTAGCCACTTTTGCATTCCAGTCGAGCATTAAGTTATATGAAACAGTTAAGAGCTTTCATTCCCATTCGAAGCGCGTACGCGATCTTTTAGAGGAGCTGGAGTAGACTTCCGCACGACCCAATATAACCCGGACCCAACCCGGACCCAACCCGGGCTGGGTTGGGTTTTGGATCGAAGATTCCGACCCAGCGTTGAATCCGGGTTAAAGTTGGGTAACCCAGCCTGGGTTTGAGGCCCCAACTTGGGTTACAAACATAACATATATGCTAAGACCCGTAATATAAATATGATATTTTAATTATTAAACAGCTTTATGATTAAAATTATACAAAATTATGCAAAATTATGCAAATGTTGGGTCAAATTGGGTTATATTGGGTTTTATTGGGACCCCAATATTGGGTCCGGGTTGGGTCCGGGTTAGAGAAGTTCAATCCGGACCCAGGCTGGATTGGGTCAAGACCTTCGACCCAAGTTGGGTTTTGCGGAAGTCTAAGCTGGAGGCATTGAGCGGGGTTTTTGGCTCACTTATTGAGATGATCAGTAGTATTATTGATGTCGATCTTATGGCATTTGATCTTTTTTTGTTACGATGTGATCGCACTTGTGGAGAGTTCGAACAAGAGATTCAAAAGTGTTCAATGCGTTTCAGAAATAATTGCACGAGCTTTCGCAATTGGATCAAATTAAAATATATGAACGATAACATTGATAGCTTTAGATATCTATTAATTAGATATAAATTGATTATTAATATAGTTCTGACAGATGTCAATCTATGAATCTTTTTATATCAGATGTAATTCAGTATCTTATAGCATTTCATATATTTAATTAACTAACATAAGTTAGTCGCAAGTCATCTGTTACAACTGAGAATCTCAAAAATTATGAAAATCTTATTGTAATAATCAAAACTAATTTTGAGATTTATTTTAAAATCATCAATAAAAAACTTAAACTTATATTTTGAAAAATGATAACAAGATCCAATTCAAATGCATTCGAACTACAATTGATCAAAAAAAAACAACTTAATATAAAAAAATATTTGCGAATCTATATTCAATTGTTCAATCATATTAATCAAATCTAGTTCACACATAAATCCGATAACAATGTTTTCGAATCATTCGATTTTAATATTTTGCCGAAAAGAATCACAAAAAAAATCTCAAAATTATAGAAAAAAATTGACTCTCATAATTGCGAAACTCAAAAAATATATGAAAAATCTGATGAACAAATTATTGACAAAATCACAATTGATTATAACATTTGAAAAAAAATTTGTCGATTTTATTGAATTATGAAAAAAATAGAAAACAATTTGTTAATACATGAATATCTGTTTTAAAACTGATAATCATTTAAAAAAGAATATTAACAACATTGACAATTATGCCATTGATAACATTATACAATTTATGGTTTTGATAAACGGCACAATCATTCATAATAAAAATTGAAAAATGAATTGAAAATTAAAACAGATTAAAAACTATCTTAATAATGTTTCTTTTTAACAATTATCACGAGATTTTACAAATGTTAATTTAAAAAATATCTTGTATTCATTTTCACAAAACAATTTATCAAAGTCTTCTAACAACAAAATATCAAGCGAAACTACATTTAAATTCAAAGAATGATATAAACAAGTCTTCTAATTCTTATCTAAAACTTTTCAACACATATCTATCAATGTGACCGTTGACGTGGAAGAATGAAATAATTCATCAAAGAAATACGATAATTAGAGCTATTGATTGATTGGAATTTTTTTTCTTATTTTCAAGTTTATCTCTTTTGTTTGCTCTTAATATCTATCATAAATCGCATCTATGTATTGAATGACACAGTGATACAGCTAATAACCCTATATAATGATCTTTCTATGTTCAGATTATAAGAGCTATGTGTTGTTAAAGCTATTTCAACGACCATAATATGTTTTTATAGAAACTGCTCATTTTGCGTACAAAAACTGTCTTTATCCTAGCTTTCTTACTTGTTGGTACCTATATCTTCGGAAATCCGTTGAATCGTTCGAGTTATTAGATTTAGGGGACTAAATGAAGGACGCGTGACAAGGGTTAAGAGCGCGCCAGGAAGGAGCAAGGGGTAGACCTCGGCAGAGTCCGTCCATGGACACCGCTAAGGTGTCCATGACCCGTCCATGGACCCCCCCCTAGTGTCCAAAGTCCAACTGCGCTAAATCCAGTCCAGCCCAGTTTGCACACGTTAAATCTCAAATCTGTTCAAATCTATTTATTCATGCATAAAATCTTGCCATAAATCTGATTATTCAACAAAATAAAAAATTGTTATTTATTATTGTTTTAATTAGGCTGCGGCAATATCCAACGGTATGTTGGATATCCACATATCGTATCCGCAATTTGCGGACTTGGATGTCAACTTGATATCCAACTATCCGCAAATTGCAGACTTGGATATCGATATCAAAGCGTTGGATATCCAACGAATATTCGTTGAATAACAAACATAACAAATATGCCAAGCCCCGTAACATCCGTGTGACTGTATAAATTATGCAGATTTTTTGTTTTTTTGGAGTATACACACATAATTTTTTACACAAATTCTTAAAAGGACAGATACTTGTTTATCTTAATTATGGTAATCTTTCTTTATTTAAAAAACTAATATTACAGCTTATCAATCTTAAATCCATTTGATAACTTTAATTTTGTCCAAATCCGCTTTAATCATATTTGTGTATTTTTTTCAATTGATAGTTCTGTATCATTTAGAATTTCAGAAAGTCTTAATTGAAAACGTTTTCGTTTAATTTGCTTGTTTTGAATTAAAACATACATTGAAAAAAACATATTTTTTATATTATTTTTTGCATCATTTTTCGTATTATCATCAGACTCATTTTTTTGTTCGCAATCTTTTTTTTCATTATCACTAATTAGATCGAGATTCTGTAAAAACGGAAAAAATATTTTTATCTAATCAAATATAGCAGTCTCTCCAACAAAAAGATATTCTTTCATTATTTTAAGTTGATTGTGTTCTAACTCAAACTTTAAAAAGAAAAAATGAAGCATCAGATCTTTGATTATATCTGATTTAAAATGCCCGCAACAATAGTAATAAATATCACGAATACAATTAAAAAATCGCTTAACACCAACATCGTTAACAAAAATAAAAAAAAATATTTTTCGCTATTCTCGCCAGAACTGAGAACTCATGTTCATGTTTTTTCCAGTATGATCGAAGGTTGCCTTTCGCGAGTCTTATAATGTAAGTTAGTGTATAGATAGTTCTAGAGGAATGTAAAGAAATTAATAAATTAATTTTTTGCAAGATATCACGTGATCTCATTATTTGACTAGTCCATATCAGACAATAAAAAAATCTGTGAGTCATATAACATCGCAAGCTTTTTTTTTAATTATCTCTTTAAACGCTTGCACATCTGTAGATTCTATTAATTTTAAAACGTTCTGTCAATATCGCTCGAATTTCTTTTATAAAACATTCCGATAGATTTTTATAAAATCAATCTTTTTTTTCTTTTCATTTTCTCTTTTTCAATCTTTATTGTTAAAGTAGTGTAACTTCTTTGACAGACAGAAGATAGTTGCAATCACATATATTATATTATATGGCTCATTATTGATCACAAAATAATATTTATTTAATTTTTTCTTCGCTACAGCGAGAGCCTGAAGCATTCTCTTTTTCCAAAGGATATCTTTTCATTTCAATTTCTTTTCAACATCGTCAAAATGATTAAAGAGGCGATTATAGATATTAAAAACATGATGAATTGTAACATCTCTAGTTTTCAACAAAACGTTGTAAAAGTCAAAAAATGATTTTGTAAATAAGAAAAGATATTCAATCTGGCGCCACTTTTTCTGATCTAGTTTGAAATGGAAATATTGATAAGTTATATAATATTTATCAAAGACTGATTGTAACTTTTTGACACGATTAAACATTAAAAAGATCGAATTCTAACATGTATGAACATCTTGAATAAAAATAAATCGAGACTTTTTAGTTTGAAAAACTAAAAATGTTTCTCGGCGTTGCGGATTTGCATTAATAAAAACGACAAGCTCTCGGATTTTAAAATGTTTAAAATTAGTGCTTGTTTTTTAAAATATTAAAATAATATATCTTTTTCAGAATATCCACAATATATGTTGTAAAACG